AACAGTTCACAGAAGTCATAAATATATTTTACAGTAATGGAGCCACACAATTTTCTGTATTGAAGCCATGGCAAATTGAGATTATCACTCATACAAGAGTATATGTTCAATGCAAAAGGAATAAAAGTATTCATTAAGTTCCCTCCAGCTTTGCTGAATATTTCTATAACCAGAGTATGAATTTATAATCTACCATTGCTTCCCAAATTTCTATGTATATGGGAAAATAAGAAAAAAAAAAAAAAAATAGGAACCCAGACACAAGAATAATTTTATTTCACTCTACACCAGGTATCTCAATGCATGATAGTCTCGCTTTAGCTATGAGAATTAAGCCTTAAATTTTGGAATTCAAGACATACTACAGTACTGATTTCTGCAGGTACTATTTTAGTCTTTTCAATATTCTGTGGTTTGTTTCATGTTTATTGTTCTATTTGCTTACAGATTATTAAAATTATAAACATGAAAAATTGTCCCTAGCAAATCAAATTCCAAAAAGCTAACAAAATAAAAAATAATTCTGTTTACTATTATCTTTCAGGGAATATATAACACTTTTGACAGTTATTGAGAAGAATGTGAAATGTCATAAACCCATTATATTACAACAATTTTCACAGCAACTGAAAATGATATGAATTCAACACAGTTGTGTCTACATTCCCAAACTAGTTAGTCTGGCACCATTCATCATGACTAATAGTCAAGAAAGGATGTAAACCAGAACTAGGAAGGTTTACTCCTGGCCAGCTTTCACCTGTGGTAGAAATATTTCTGTAGCCTCTCACTAAATAAACAATCAATAACAATGAGGATTTTTACTGAGGGAGAAGGAGAAGGGAAAAGAAAAAAACTGGAAGAAAAGGAAAAATGAAAAATTGTTGTTTTAACATTTAAATACTTCTCAATCCTTAGAAGCACTGCAGCATAACATAACAACTCAAAAAACATGTGCTCTTTTTATTTCTCATAGAAATATGAGAAGGCTGCAATTATTTTTGAATACGTGCACTTGTCAACTGTAACAAGATGTGAACAAAAGCGATGAAGAAGTCTTAAAGATTATCAAGCTGAAACTTAAGTGTAAAATTTTTGCTGCTTTCAAGCCGAAGTGAAAATCTGACTACCTCAGAAGATCTGATAGGGTCAGATTGCCTGTTAGATAAATCAGTGAAATTCATAGATGTAATGCAATGCAAACTTGTTTTTTAAGCAGCATCAATATATCAATATATCACAAATCTTAGGTCATCTTTTTACTCTGTCTTTGAAATAAAGTTATGGCAGAGTATAATCTAGAATAAACTTAGAAGAGAAGCAGGAATATTTGTTCTTGTTCCTGTTTTCAGCTTGGCTATTAGATGAGGGCAGTCATAGTGACCCGGTCCTAGTGGGAAATCTACTGAGAGAAAATGCCTACCTACTGTCCTGGAAACTAATCGTGGGAACCAGGAACATTCTTGATAGGCACAGCTAACCTCTTTGAACATCAGCTGAGTACCTAAGAACAGGAGATATGTCAATGATATCATTGATAAGGACAAAACCAAAGAACTATGGCAGCAACTTATCATCTGAAAAGAAAATAGTCTGAGAAGGAAAATTTTACCCAAGAGAACAGGGAGGATCATTGCTATTTGTTGTCTTAGTTGAAACAGAAAAATTAGCAACATTTGTTGGCCAAAGACACTGTGCTACACCTGCTTATGTCTCTGTGTTAGAAGAGGACTCTATTTCTATCCAATATGGAGACTCTCTGTCTTGGAAAACATTCTGTATTGCATTAATTTGTCTTTCCACCAGGATTTCCTAAACAAATTAATCATTTTCTAGGGATCCCTAATGGACTCTGATGCAGATCAATTTAAAGTGAGACTTCAATCAGTATTTATTTGGTCCCAATCTTGAGCCTACTAGATGGACTTAGCGCCTTCTGAAAGCCTTTTCCTTAATTCCTTTCCTTTTGATATTAATTTTTATTAATTAGATAATTGTAAGAACAGCTTGACTTTCCCCCACACTTCTCATATCAGTTTCATGCACTTGGTACTGGTATATTACATATATATAAATAATGAACTATGCATGAACATCATCTATCATAATTGTAGTCTTGATAAGTACAACTTCTCACAATTATAGTTTTTGTCATAGTATTGATAATTACAGCCCATATTCACTGTAACAGTATTGATAAATTTGTTGAATCAATAATACAGAATCCTAAAAAGTCGGTACTGTGATCTCTGTTACATCCACAGGTCAGGGAGTCATGAAGATCAGGACATCATGACTTTTTAATCAGACCACGTGGTACAGTTGACATGATGGAGGGAAGGGATGACATACAGAGGAACCGCAATAACCTTGAGAGGTGGAACTGTAAGAACTTCATGCCAGCAAGTCCAAATGCAAGCTTCTGCACCTGCATCATGGTAATACCAAGTACAAATACAGATTGGGTAGATAATGGAATAAGAACAGCCTGAGGAGGACTTGGCAATGTGAGATGATGAAAAACAGCGTATGTCAGAAATGTGCCCTTGCAGCCCAGAAAGCCAAATGTATTCTTGTCTGCATCAAAAGCGACATAACCAGCTGGTCAAGAGAGGCTATTCTCCTTTTCTAGTAGGCTCTCCTGAGACTTCATCTGGCATATTGCTTTCAGCTTTGGGACCCGCACCATAAAAATGACATGGACCATGAGGAAGATGAGAACCCTTAGAGATGCACAGAGGGCTGGAGCAACTCTGACAAAAAGAGGCACAAAGAGTTGGAATTATTCAGCTTAGAGAAGAGAAGGCTCTTGGGAGATGTTTTAAAGGCCTTTCAGTACCTAAAGGAACCTACAGGAAAGCAACATTTATTACGCTCTTTTGAATGTTACACAGAAGAAAAGTATATTCACAGACTGATCATATTTTCCGCTTATCTGCAATCACACCTATTATACATCAATATGCTAAATACAACTTCATCTAAATGCCCAGATCCTTGATTACCATGCCTGCAGATATATACTAGCAGCTTCAATTTGATGGTATTACAGCTGGTGTAGGCTAAAAACTCAATCTATATGCTAGGACATTGTGTTTGTACAAGCCTAATTAGCAGTGGCTACACAAATTAACTCATCACATTTGCTACCTTAAAATGTATCTCATGACTATTTGAACAGCAGGGTGAAAAAAAAAAAAAAACAGCCAAACTAAGGGAGATGTCTTTGGAAGAAGAAATGATAACCCTTACCTCTTTGTTCATCTGTCAAAAATTTTCATAAAGAACATTCTTTAATCATGCTTCAGATACAACTTTTTATCTGCTGTAGGCTTTGTATTTGCAGCCACCTCGATTATAGCTAAACCTCTGCAGTTATCTAAAGTTATAGAATGCTTTCAAGATATATGCAAGTATCAGCTTATAAATAAACTAGGTCATATAAATATGTAGCATCAGTGTTTTTCACCAAGTAGAGAATACATTAATAGTGAAATATTTTAGTCCAAAGAACATGATATAGCCTATGTAAAACACTAACAATGCGAATACATGTTTGTTAAGTATTAACTTTAATTTAATACTGACTTATAAATATTCCTCTATATAATTGCAATATTGTAACAGAATTTCTGTATGCTCTTTTAGAGCATCATAAACAGACAATATGTTACCCTTATAACTAACTCTTCCAGTTAAGAAATCTTTTGACATATTAACTGGTTGGACTTTACCACTGTCATGTTTTAGTTTTTTTGTTGTTGTTGTTTTTTGTTTTGTTTTGTTGGCTTTTTTTGTTTGTTTTGGTCATGGGCTTTTTTTTTTTTTTTTTTTTTCCCTTCCTACAGTAATTTTTTTTCTGGATAAACATACTGAAAATGCCTACTTTTATATATAATATTTAAGTGTTAATCATGTCATAGCCATCTGGTGTTTGCATCTCTCCGCCTCTGCTTCTTCAGCAGATAGTATCCCCAGCTCTGCTGGCCAGAGCTAAAATTTGAATTCTTCTATGCCAGGAAAGAGTAGGTAGCTTGCTCTAAATCTTTTAAGTTAAAATTTATCTCCTCAGATGAAATACTTTATCTTTCATTTCATTGTATAGCAGAGCAAGAAGCATGGTCATGACTGTCACAGTTAAAATGATTTTATTACATTGGAATTTTCCAAAACCAAGAGAAAATGTCCACAATCTCTAGAATTAACATCTATTTTTCAGTGAGTACATCTGAAAAAAAAAAAAAACAAAAAAACAAAAAAAAAACAAACTAGAAAATATTGTGTGGCACTGAATATCTTTTAGAGACAAAAAATATTTAATACATAGCATAAGTCATTCCCAGTAATGACTTAGAACTCACAGGTTATATATGCAGAGTGGAAGGAAGTGGTGAATATTCTTGATAGAGATATATTCTTTTGAGAGAAAACTTTAATGACGTTTCTATTCTCATTGGAATGTGTTGGCTAAGAAAAAAATATAAATCACACATTCCTGAAAATTCAATATAAGACTGATCTTGATTTTTTTTCCTCCTGTAAAACACCTTGTATAAAGCAGCAAATATTATTCACCTATTCTCAGAACTGCTTCAACTTGACTGATCATTTCACATTATTGAAAGTTGTAGTTAGAAACCCAAAATCATGTTTTCATATAAAAGTTAAATAACACAGTACTCTGTAGCCATTTACACAGAATTAAATGTTATTATCAAGGTAAGCAAATAGCAAGTTTTGTTATTTCTGATCCACAAGACCTTGTGAAAGAAACAGAAGTGAAATAGTTCTTATTTCTCTCCTTCACAAGAAAATTTTTTTTCTTTTCATATTTCAATAAATAATCTTGTTCTACAAAGAAAGTGAATGTAGGTTGATATGTGCAAGCATTTATTCTCAAGATCTGCAACTGATAATATATATTCAGTTCAAGGTCATCTTTTGAAAAAACAGGGATTGGGAGGAGACTGGGAAGTGGCAGCAGCTCCCAGGAATGCAAGTAATGTATTTATGTTGACTGAAATGGAGTTGAAATATACAAAGAAGTGACAATTTCTTTTGACATCTTGAAATCTATTCTCAAATTCCTGTATCGAAGTGTAAAACAGAACTACATATTTTTCACTGTTTACAGGACTGCATTCAGCCACTGTATCAAAATATGTGAATTACTTGCTATAACTTGAGCTTGCCATATTTACATTTCATTTCAAATGTTATCATCTGAAGCACATAGCAGGGAGTACAAGCCGTAGTGCAAGATGCTCATGCCTGGCCAACCTGATAATTTTTAAGAAATGTTATCTTACTAAATATTTTGACTCTGACCTCCATAAGATCCTCATAGAGAAACTTGAAGAACGGATAGAATGTGTAGATAGTCAGGTGGACCAAGAACAGGCTACATGGCCAGAAGATAGTAGTTTGTGCAAATTCTTACTGGAGATCATTAACTAGTGGAGTATCCATACAGGTCAATACTAAATCCCGTCCTGTGTAACACCTTCATGAATAATCTGGACAATGGAATTGAACATACTCCCATTAAGTCTGCAGATGACACAAAACTGGAGGAAGTGGCAGATTAATCAGATGTTCTGAGTTTAAATTGCATTATTTTGATAGTATGAGAGTTGCAGGCTTGGCTTCTATTAGCAGAGCCCAGAAGCTGCCACATATCAGAAATTCCTTTCCAGCTGGTTCCAAAAAGGACCTACCCCTGGCCAAAGCTGAGCCAATGAACAATGCCAGTTGTGCCTCTGTGAAAGGAGATAAACAACTAAAAAAAAACTCCGCAATAACTTCTGTACAAAAGCAGCTGGGATAGACGAATGAGAAACTGTGGAGACAAACAGCAACCCAGACACCATGGTCAGGCCAGAAGGATGGCAGGAGTTGCTGCAGGCACAGAGTAGAATTCCTCCTGCAGCCTATGGGGCACCATGCAGAGCAGATCTCCACATGCAGTCTGTGGTGGAGCCCATAGTGCAGCAGGTGGATGTAGCCTGAAGGAGACCACAGCCCATGGAGAGACTTTCACAGGAACAGACCCTGGACCAGAGATGTAGCCCATGGGTATGAGTCCAGATGGGCCTGCTTGAGCAGAGATTTTAAACTAGATGTCATCCAGAGGTCCCTCACAGTCATCCAGGGATTGTGTGATTCTGTGAAGTAAAGGTATTACCTAAATACACAAACAGTTAAATTTATAACAGAAGCATGGTGTTTGAACATAACATACTCTGTTCCCACTGTTTCCAGGTGTAGGGCTCTTATATAGTTGAAAGAGGTAAGTCTGTAATTTTTCAAAAGAGACTCTTAAATAGGATTGGGAAGTAATTTTTGCTCTATGTAATTTTCAAGTTTTGCAAGCTCTACTTTGGTAGTAATGAAGAAAAAAATCCTTCTAAAGGTTCCCATAAAAAAAAAGGGAGATGATAATCATTTTCAAATACCCACTAGAATTCACTTGAGTGAAGGAGGAAACTCAAGTAAACTGTATTCTAAGTGTCTTTTTGTTTAATATGGTGCAGGAAAATTGATGTGCTCTAATCCCCATAGAAATCAACTGTATTGAGCTCTTTCCTGATTGAGATTACCAATACTGACAAAAAAAAGCCTCTACTAATATTTAATTGAAACAAGCAAATTTTCATGAAGAGTTTTCATAGTAATAAACTACCAAATAAGGAATTCTCATATGGTTTATTTTCAACTATATTTTTAAAGACACTGATTTTTTTTTTTTTTTTTTTTTTGTGATTTTGTAATATTCTGCTTGGTAGGGATCCTGTGTTATTGCAATTTATTTCTGTTTTTGCCTTTCTGCCTTCATCAATTCCTACTTGATTTTTTTCCCCCCTTTTTTTAAAAAATGTGAGTTCCAATTCACTGATCACATACATGTACTGAACATGGAGTACATTATGTTAGTGAAAACAAAAGCCAACCATCTGAAATATCATTTCATGATAGAAAATTAAATATGTAAAAACAACTTCTCCTACAGGAAGCTCACTAGTCCTTACTCATAATCATGCCCCATAAGTGATGCATATACTTACAACTATGACTGAGTTGAGTAGTTTTAAGCAGTTTAAAATAAATGCACAGCAGTGTCATCTACATCTCATCTGAAACACAGGAAAATAAGCTGCCACGGGATATATCTATTTTAATGTAATACAATAACATTACATGGTTTTACATTAATATTATCTGTACACACAAAAATCAGTATTTAATTTGTATTTTTTACATTTTATTACTGTGAGATTATCAGTTTGATTATAGAAGAAAATAAATCATAATGCATTTAATGGAATATTTTAGATAAATTCTATTACTTTAGCTTGTAGAACATTAAAAACTGCTGAAGTGTTTGTTGCTTGACAACAAGAAACATGATTAAACTCTAGGTTACACTTAACTGCAAGATGGATGGATGGGGGTACTCAGTCACAGCCATTTTAAAGGACCAACAAATAGCAAGGGTCAATGTTACAACCTAGATAATTATTACACTTACTAGAAAAAGGGCAAAAATTATATTATTCCAATACCTTGTATACCCTTCTCACACACAGACAGCTGAATTATGTTGCATATCTAGCATGAAGCATTACAGGATAATTTACACGATCAGGTCTTGCACTACTGGAGAAGTTAATAAACCACCTCATAAACTTCCCTTCTGAAAGATATATGGTGCTGTTCATCTTTGATAAAGAGTAGCTTGGATTGAAATACCTACATGCATCCTGGTCCCTGATCTCTGGACAAGCTGTTACTTATACTGTGCAAATAACATTGCCTTCCACATACACTGCAGTACAGTTGTTAAGCAGAATACATATTACATACTGGTAGTCTTTGAGCACGTAAAACCTACATTAAAGAGTCACACAAATCTTTGTAAAGTAACATTGCATAAGAAGATATTTCATTATTACACTCCTATAGATGCATAAAGCAGTTAATTTTATCTTCCAGCTTATAGGCAAAGAAGTGTAACTTCTTTTGAATTAGTTATTTTTTTGTTTTATCTTTATCCCTTTACAGCTTCAAGGGAAAGGAAGATTAGCGCTGAAATAAGTTCTAATGGACATCTGCGTGGACTAACTGGAGGGGAGAGGGAAGGAGCAACAGTAGTTAGAAACCTCTAGCAGGAACCTAGTCTCTTTGGATCTAGACCCTTCACTGTGATCATAATTAGCCAAAAGTTTATTAAAAAAAATAAGGAGAGCATAATGTTAGTGTCAGATCTTTTACATGCTTATTAGAAGTTATACATATTATCATATAGATCTAGTAAACTTTTGGTCTTAAAGATAAAAATCACTTGTGATTGATTACATCATCTTTTCCACAAGATAATGAGCTGTTCACAACCACTATTTTAATTATGCATCAGAGTAATCTAGTTGATATTCCTATTCCATACTACTTACCCTCACATTTTATTTGACACATTCCCAGCTGGAACACAATGGAAAACACTGCAAAGCAGCAGAATAGCAAAGTCCAAGACTGCAGGAAGTAAGGACTTGCTCAAATGCAACAGATATGGGCATTCAAACAAAGAAAAGAAACTACTTACATTCCAAAGGTCTCACATACAGAAAAAAAAACCAAGACTTCCAACAAGATCACCTTGCCTCCACTGTCAACTTTTAAATGAGGTCAGGGAGGGGGTGGACATTGACTCCACCCCTTCTGGTCACTCAAATGTATTGCATGCACTGAGGTCCTGTGGGTTGGCCCTGTCTTCCTGTCAGAGGCTCAATCACTGGTTCAAGCTGTGACATAGCATTTCTTCTACATCACCTATTTCTGACTGAACATATGATTACAAAAACTTTCAGGCTGCAAAAAGTTCCTTGGGTGTGTACTAAATTCTGAAGAAAAAAAATATTTCTATTTTATTAATATTTCCTTCTGGAGAAGGCCCATATAGTAAATACTAATTCCAGTTCTGACAGAGGTTACAATACACAAGGACTTCATATAAACCTCAAAGGCAATTTTATATATATTTCAATTTCTCTATAAAACCAAACTGCAGAAGAAAAGATAATTAAAAATGGCTACTTTCATTGCCGTTTGCACATTCATTTATTCTCTGAATTGTGGAGTTTTCTTTTTGTTTTGTGTTAGTTTATCTGTTAGTTTCTTTTATTTTTTTTTTTAATTGTAGAGGAATGAGACAAAACTGCTACAGCCAGAGATCTTTTAGTCTTTAGTCTAAAACAAGATATGTGCAGGCTGATTTTCAACAATATTGTTTTTTAAGTTTTTTCCCCTCAAAATCAAATAGTCTAAAGTTCTTTACCTGATAAGTATTAATTAAATCCACGATTCTCTGTTTCCTTAGTAACAATTCATAGTATCACTGACATTCAAGAGAGAGCAGCATGTGCAAGAAACCGTAAAAATGAAAAATCTTATTTTGCCAGTTACTTATGAAATATTAGATTAAAGTATATATTACCAGCTTCCTACTGAATTCAATGCTTTCTAAGTGCAATCCTTTATCAATCTTTTAAACAGGTATGTACTGCCAGATTTTAATTCAATAGATTTTTTCTTTGTTTGGAATTCCATATTTCTGTGTCATAGGATCGTGTACTTGCATCCATCCTTGTGATAAGATACTATTCCATGTTTCAGAGTCACATGCATAGTCCTAATATTATTTCAATATTCTTTCAGAGGTGAAATGTTCAGTTTTTGTTTCTTGTTTTTGTTTTTTTTTTTTTCATGTAAATTTGTGGTATTTGTAAATTTGTATGGAACTACAAAGTGCTTTAGAAACTGAGGAGATTGAATCAACATCAGCTCTGCAGAGAAAAATAGTTTTTACAGAGTAAAAGCAAAATTATGCAATCAAGGTAGATTAAAAATGGAAATCGGTAGGGCATTACATTCTGTAGTTCAACATATGAGTTGCAATGTTTTGTTTGCATTTATATTATAATTACATTTCATAAGAATCATTTAGCATTATAATTCTTTCTGCCAAAGAGAAGTCAGTTTACATCTAGACAATGTTTTTAAAAAAATAGGGTTACTGAGGAGGGTCAGTTGGATGACAATGAAAGAAACAAGCTCATGTACTGCTTCACTGACTTGGCTAGAAGGATGAATACCACCCAAACATAAAGAGGCAACCAGGCATCAGATATCAAATCGGACTACCTACATCCTTATGTCATGCAACATTTGATGTTGGCTTCATTTCTAGTACAGTGACAAAAGCCACTAATTTGTATAATTAAAACAAACAAACAAACAAACAAACAAAGAAAAAGCACCTAGAAAGTACTGGAAAAGTATAGCAGAACTGAATTATAACCAGAAAAAAAAAAAATAGGTCAAGATAAATAAATGTTACTTTAATATATGTTACTTTAAATAAATATTACTTTAATTAGGGTGTTAAAAAGAATTTAAAAAAAAAGCACATTTTTTTTTTAAGTTGAAATAGAATTCTATGTTTCATGATTTTTTTTTTTTTAATTCACTGTAACATTTAAAATGACTAAGTGAAATTTTCATGTGAAGAGATAAAATCAAAGTGTTGATTTACACCACCATATAAATATGTCAGCTCAGTGACAAGTTTTCCCCTCTGCTTGGCACTGGTGAGACCCCATCTGTAGTATTGCATCCAGATATGGAGTCCTCAGTACAAGAAACATCAAGGACAAACAAGCAAAAATCAAAACAACAAAATCAAAAAACATTTCTGGCAGTGATATCTAAATGCTTCTTGAACTCTGGCAGCTTGGTGCAGTGACCACTGCCCAGGAAGCCTGTTCCAAAGCCCAACCACCCTCTGGTGCAGAACCTTTCCCTAACACCCAGCCTAATCCTCCTCTGATGCAGCTCCATGCCTTTACCTTGTGTCCTGATGCTGACATAAGAGAGCAGCGCTTAGCACTGCCTTTCTGCTCCCTCATGAGGAGCTGTAGGCTGCCATGAAGCTTCCCGTCCATATTCTCTTCCCTGGGCTGAACAAACCAATGACTTCAGCCTCTCTTCAAAAGTCTTATCTTCTAGAACCTTCACTCTCTTAATAGCTTTCCTTTGGTCATTCTCTAATAATTGTATATCCTTCTTACATTGTTGTTGTGACCAAACCCACTCACAGTGCCTCAAGGTGAGGCTGCACTAGGGCAGAGAAAAGAAGGACAATCCCTTCCATCAACAGCAATGCTATACTTGATGCACCCTCAAGGTACGGTTAGTTCTTTTGGCTGCAGTGGTACAATGCTGATTCATATTTAACTTCCTGTCAGTCAGAACCCAAGATCCTTTTCCACAAGGCTTCTCTGCAGTCCCTTGTCTCCAAGTCTGTACATCTAACCAGTGTTGCATCACCCCAGGTGCAGAATCACTCTTGTTAAAGTGGTCAGTGATTTCTCCGCCATCTGTGTTGTCAAGATCTCTCTCCACGGACTGTCTGCTCTTGAGAAAGTCAACAGCTGCTCTTAATTTGGAGTCATCTATAAATGTACTTTGTGTATCTTCAAGTCCTGTATTCAAATCATTGATGATAGCATTAAAGAGAACTGGCCCTGAAATGGAGTCCTGCAGAACTCCAGTGAGTGAGTGGCCACACTGATGTTAAACACATTTACTATAACCTTTTGAGCCCAACTCGTTAACCAATCCTTCACCCATCACATTATGTTTTAATCTAGCCATGTGCTGGACTTTTTGTCTGAAAGTCCACTGTGAGAAACAGCTTAAGTTTGCTCAAGTCAAAAAGGTTACATCAACTGACTTCCCTGGTCAACTAGGTGGGTAACCTTGTCATGAAAGGAAATTAAATTAAAATAAAATTTTAAATTAAAATAATTAACCTGAACTTTCCCCTTGTGAGCCCATGTTGGCTGTGACAAATTTTTTGCATTGTCTTTCCTTTAAATCCCACAGTAATCTCCTCCATAATTTTACCAAGCACTGGGGTGAATCTGATAGGTCAGTAATTAACAGGGTCTTCTTTCTTGACCTTCTTGAAAACTTAGACAACATTTGCCAGCTTTCAGTCAGTAGGGACTTTTCAGATTGCTAAGACTGTTGAAAAATAATTGAGAGAGTTATTGTGATGGTATGGCCAGTTCTCTGAGTACCCTTGGATGAATCCCATTAAGACCCATCAACTTATATGCATCCAGGTGGAGCAGCAAAGTCTGCAAATGTTTAGTGTTGAGTGGATGTTCATGAATACCACAGTCATGGTCCTCCAACTTAGGGCTCTGGAGAGTTGAAGACAGAGGCAAAGAAGGCATTTAAATCTCCATTTTGTCTGTGTCTCTATTTTTGAGGTGACTATCCTCATAAAAAAAAAAATGGACTAATAATATCTACAGTCCTCTTTTTGCTATTAATATATTTTAAAATCTCTTTTTTCTTTCCCACATATTGCTACCCAGCTTAAACTAAGTTTTGGCCACTCTAGTTTTCTCCTTGCTATGGAGAATAGCATCTCTGTAGTTCTCTCATGCCAGCCAATTTTTTTTCCAGTGGTCACGCAATTTCTTTTACTGTCTAAACTCTGAAGAATGTCCCTGCTCAGCCAAGCCAACCTTCTTCCTCATCTGATGATTTCCAACATTTTGGAATTGCCTGTTCCCGTAGTCTTAAAAGTGACCTATCAATACAAGCCTTTTTTTCTTGATGGAATCGGTCAGGTTATGGGGGATGCACTCACTAGCCTTAGGTGACTCCTCCAAGCTGGATGTACTTTTATTGACATCATTTTTTGCCTCACAGCTATCGTGTAAGAATCCCTGCTGGGGCTGAAGTAGGCAGGAAAGTGATTTGCCTCTCCCCAAGCAGAGTTCTGTCATCAGGTTGAGCAGTTTTTTTGTTTTGTTTTGTTTTTTACCTCTATGCACTGTCTACAGGTGCACTTATGCTGCCATTAGATACTGATAGGAAGCTCCAGCACAACCTAGGACCTGGATGGCAACGTGTTCCCTTGGGAGCTCTGAGTGCATGTGTAAGTTCCTGTGGTTGGAAAAGCCATGGAAAATGCAGAGGACATGGGTTTTTCTGAATATCATTACTGGAGCTCATTTAAGCCTAGTAAACATAAGAGGAGAATATCCACAATGCTGTTTCTTCCTAACATCTTTAGTTTTTAAAAAATAATCTCTCCATCAACTCAGCCAACTAACTCTGATGTCAGTGACCTAGAAGTGTCCATTTTCATCCTCAAAGGAATAGTTCAGTAACTGTCTAAAGAGTCATGAGAATTACATAGTAAAATACTGATCACCTTACTGACTAGAGCTAGACCCAAATTCTTCAGCAATATACTGTGGTCCTTGAACACTCAGTAACAGATTGCATAGTGATTATCCTTGATCTGATAATTTCCAACAAATTCTTTTAAGTTTTCTGAGATGAAAGTTAACAAATGTGCTAATTCTTATTGTATTTGGGAACAATGTAGTAATTTGTAGGGACTGAAAATTAGATTCTTTATTGAATTTAGATAATTAACTCACTGAATAACTAAATCAGTCTAAAAACAATGTTAATTATGCAGTAGGTGTTTTCTTAGCTATAATATC